GACCAAGGATAACGAATTTCTTGGCTGTACGATGAAAAACCAAACCGGCTAAATTTTACTAGATAGCGAAAAAAGTAATCAAACTGTTGTTACTTTTGTTTCATCGTGAACGGATTTTAGTAAACTTTGAAAGTGTTTAAGGGTCCATTCAAATGTAACGCAAAATAGTGGATTTTAATTTACCCCCCACCCCCTTGTAACGCACTTTTCCCATATTTTATACGAGGTGGTTAACACATTTCCAGAACACCCCACACCCCCTCTTGCGTTACGTAATATTTGAATGGGCCCTTAGAAGATCAACATTTTGCAGTTTCAAAAAGGGCATTAAAATTGTTCAAGCTTCGTACAGACTCAGCCAATCAAACATCCAAAGGCAGGAATGGATCGCTCTGTGATGCATCGTTCATAACATTCTAGTGAAGGAAGCTAACGCAGGATGGCCAGTGATTTTTCATTTTCAAATGGCCGGTTTGCCCGGTACAAATATCAAACATTTCCCGGATTTTAATATTCAGTTGATAGCGAAAATGTTGAATGATTATCACTTTTTTTTTAAATCGTGACCACATATTTAAGGGTAAATGTTTAGTAGCAAAACCACCGACAAACCGACATGACAATTAATTCTGACTTATGTCCGAAAATCGAAAACGGCCGATTTAAATGTGCAGTGATCCGAACTGTCAAAACCACAGGATTTTTTGATCTAGATAAAAATAATTTGTCCAGAACAGATCAGACACGAACCAATTCATAACTTTTGCATGGGGGTTCATGGCTTAGCTAAATATTTCCCGCGAACACGGAGCCAGATGTCAGTAGCGTGCTTTGGTCAGAATTTTTATTGTTTTTGCTATGGTCATTCATGTCGGTGGCAAAACTAGCGTGTTTCCACTGGAAAATTAAGATCTTGTTTTACTGCTGTTCCTTTTCTCTTAACCTAGCCCGTCAGTTTTCGTGTAACGCCATCTGCCAAGGTTAATTTAAATAGCGAGGTGCGTTCCAGGTACCCAGTGGACTTAACAATCCCCAGCCCATACATCTGGTTCGGGAACTACTTTCGGACCGGCTGTACTTTCGCTTGGTCCAGTTGGAAACTTGACCACCGCTAGTTTGGTCACCGGTCGCTTGTATACACCGCTCTTCGTTCGGACAGTTGCCTGCCGCACACAATCACGACCTCTAAGATTCCTCGAATCCACTTCTTCCGACTCAACTCGTCGGTTATACAGACAATATCCCCTGCTTTCACCGGAACTCGTTCCTCATGCCATTTAGATCGTCCATTGAGTGACGGCAGATATTCGTTCAGAACTCGTTTCCACGTTTGATCAGCAAGGTACTGCGATCGTCGATATGTATCCCGAAGTGCTTCAGCAAGCTCGGTTTCTGATTCAACGAGTTGACCGTTTGATGGGCCAATGTGCAGGAAATGGTATGAAGATAATGCTGCTGAACCCTCAGATTCTTGCGGTTGATACGTTAGTTTATCATTTCTTCTGCTTCTACTAGTGTGGTGTACAAGATATCGTCAGAGGGATTTTTCGTCGTCCAGGGCTCGCATAGCTTGCTTAACTGAGCGCACCATGCGCTCCCACAGTACACTCCCCCATGTGAGGCGCTGAGGGTGGGTTGAATTTCCACTTCAATCTGGCGTTCGTATGAGCTTCTGCGCACTCCTCGTCGATCTGCCGAATTAACGTACCCAGCTCCGTGCTTGCTCCATGCAAATTCTTCCCGTTGTCTGAAAACATTTCCAGTGGGGCTCCACGCCTGCCCATCAATCGTCGAATTGCCATTGCCATTAAGACTGCGTTGTCAAATTATTTGAGACCGCCAAATGAACCGACCTCACCGTAAGGCAGGTGAACACGGCAAAGTCGACAATCCATCTTTTCTCCGTACGGATACCAATCGTGACTTCCAAAGGACCGCAGTAATCGCGACCCACAAAGCTATATAGTGCAAGATATGGAGATAATCACTGGATTGGAAGATGACCCATGATTGGAGCAACCGGATGGCATTTGTGAACACCACTGGCAATTCCTGGCTACGTTTCGCACGCCTGCCCGAAGATTAACAATAACAAAATGTTGGCGCAGCTCGTTTACAACTGTTTCGTTGTTACTATGACAAACCGCTTATGAAAGTGTTCGATCAGTTTGAGTGTTATGGCGTGATTTTTAGGAAGGATGACTGGAAATATAACGCCGCATGGAAGTAATTCAGCCGCTTCAGTCGTGCATCCTCAGAACGTTGACTACTCTTCTCCAACTGCAGCTTGTTCTGTAGCGGAAATTGTTTGTTCTTCTTCAGGATCGTGATCTCGTCTCCATAGGTATCAGCATGCTCCGCTTTGTTAGACTGCTACTTTTCCAACTGCTTGAGTCGTTTTAAATGTTGGGAAAATGATGATTATCCGATTTCTAAAGGAGCCCACTTTCAAAACGATCACCCGTGCAAACAGTGGTGCTTTCCAAGATGGCTTTGACTCGTCGGTCGTCATCGGATTCTAGAACGGTGCTTGCTGTAATTCCGATGTCCTCTATAGGTATACCGATAAATGATCCCGGAGTAAATCGTGTAGCTCTTGATTGGTGATGCATTCTCCTACGTGGTGTCCAACAAACGCTTTGTGTCGTTTCTCGTAAACCGCCCATACTAGTTTGGATCTTACAGCGATTGGTTCTCTGAAATTTCCGATCCGAGATTAAATCGGGGCGAATAGATGGATATTATCCAAACCAATGAGAATCCTAGGCATGCCGGACAAGTCATCAGCTTGTGGAAGATCTTTCAAGTGATCGAACTTCTGTGCTATCTCCAAGTACCTAATGGATTGAATAGGTAAATTCATTTCTGTTACGGTATGAGCGTTCCTGAGTGGCCACTTTTCACTGGGATCTTTGGCGGAAATTTGCAAATTCACTCGCTTCTAGTTTCTCTCCGTTCTGCTGAAGTTTGCTATCCAAATCAAACGTAGCGTTTGTTTGACACCCTTTACACCAAGATTTTCAGCCAAATTCGTCTCAACCAGACTTAACGATGAACCCTCGTCCAAAAGGGCAACTACATCTACGGAACGAGCCTCGTAATACAACGTTAGAAGAATGATTGTGCTGATTTAGCTCTGGAAATAGTTTCATACGACACTTATGGTATTCATAGCATGCTTATGAAAATTACATTGACTCAAAAATTATTCCCATACGAAATTAGTCTAAATTTCATACGAAGCTGCAATGAACTTTGTGAGTTGATCTTGTGTGAAAAAAAAAATCATACGTCGTTCGTATGAAACGGTCGTATGATTTGTTCAAAACAAAACAATATGGCGTGCGAGCCGTATGTTAAAGTTCCGGCGAAAACTTGGGCTGTATTGAGAGGTAAAAACGCTGAATTCTAAATAATATTCCGAGCCGGCGCCGGTGGTGTAGTGGTAAGCGTGACTGCTTTCTAACACCCCAATGGGTCTGGGTTCAACCCCAGCCGAGGTCGGTGGGATTTTTCTGAGGCATAAAAATCTCTGGTCACGTCTTCCTTCGGAAGGGAAGTAAAGCCGTTGGTCCCGGCCCATGTGTGTTGAATGGGTGCGATATCCTATGCAGGTGTGGAAGCTGCCTTCCTGCACATTCGATTGCCGTCAATGGATGGCAATCGATGTCCGTCGGTGATTGGCACTAGATTGCGGAACAGAGACCGACGTTTAATAAAGGAAAAAGAAGTAAATAATATTCCGGATTCTACCTACATATTTAAAATTATAGAGTGTATGGCTTTAATAACAACCATTATCGCGTACTGGTAGATCCAGAAGAGCGATTTGATTTGGACGTGAATTGCAGAATGGCTAAAACAAAACGTAAGAAGGTAGCATAAAGATTATTTCAAATATTTACTGTCAATTTCTCCACAGAGTCTGTCTAATATCAAAATACTGCGGTTACTGCAATCCTGTTGCGATAACGGACGCAACTGAATTAAAATTGGAAGCAGTGGCGTCAATAGCTAGGCAGAATGTACTCCTGGCGCTTAAAATTTTGAAGTTATTTTTTGAGTCATGTTGATTATAATACAAAAACTCAAATACAAATAATAAATTGAATTAATGATTACATGTTTATAATTAATTTGCAAGATTCAAAAACTACAAATAGCTACAGTGAATTTCATAGTTCATTCGATTGCTTTTCGTATTCCTTTCGTTTCTAATTCATACGAGTGGAACGTAAATTTCATACTCATAACGTATCATTTCCATACGACACATTTTCATATTTCTATCGCACGAAATTCAAAGTAAATTCTTTTGGTTAAATTCCATTAACATTTCGTATGAAATTCGAACGAATTATTTCCTCAGTTTCATGAGTTGATGGGTCGATAGGTAGGGTCCAGGTGTGGGAGCTGCCCCTCTGGCGTCGGTAGCATTGGTGCTCAGCACGGAAAATAAGATCGACGGAAAACAAATCAAGGAAAAAAACAGAATTTTTCACTGATTTTTAAACGTTTACCAAACAGCGGCGGCCTCGATTAGTGTGTATACATTTTCAAAAGCATTACTGCTCTTATCTTTTAAACCTTCTCCAATCATCATGTATACGGCTTAAATAAATTCTAGCTAATTTAAAGCATGAAATCAGACGCTGAACATTGCATTAGGTCCTAAGTAACATTGACAGATTCTCTACGTTGACTTTATCTTTGCATCCCAATGGCCATGTAAAAACATTCCCAGGTATCTTCAGCACACAGATCGCTATAAGAAGCTTTTATCTAGCATCTAATACGACAAAAACAACAAGACACGGTTGTGTTATTAACGAAAGAGAAAGTCAACTAAGAAAATCGATCAATGGCAATGTTCAGCTTGATATTATCAGATGCGCTACTAACATATGTCCCTGGTGTGAATTTACAATGCTAGATAGACAAATGTTAAAATAACGGAAATTTCGCGATACTTTAGAAAAAAATGTCAATGTACAACTGGGTTCATATAAACCGAACCATTTATTCCAACATTCCTACGTTCTAAAAATATTCAAACCAAACATCAACCAATCCAATCCACAATCACCCACTCGGTTTCGTCTTCATGTATTCCTCTTTGATCTGGGCCCGGTCGGCAAGATCGGGCAGGTATGGGTACGCTCCCCGGGCACGCCGATCCCTCTGGACCCGGTACCAAAAGTCCTTGCAATTGTTGTAATTGGTAAAGTACAGCTCGCACTGACTGTTGTCGTAGTTGTTTTTGTTCAAACACTTATGTACCAGGTTCTGCTCCTTCAGGCAGGGATTATTCTTTTCCGCATCTGGATTGCTGGGCATTATCGAGTGGTGGTGCTACGGGATTGAATAGATTCTTGCCGGTGAGGGATCAGATTTGCGACAGTAGAAATAGATCCCAAAACAAAATGATCTATCTTTCTGTGTTACATAATTTTGTATCAATCATACGGGTAAACATCTACTGGCTATCTAATTGAAATTCGTCCAACTATTACTCACCTGTTCTATGAACAAAATCTCAGAATAGTATAATGTTACTGGCGCGATAAGCACTTATTTTTGACTATTTTCAGAAGAAACCGGCTTCTGATAGGTGCCACAGTCAGAGAACAAACGAAAACGAATGAAAACAGATTGAATGAAAAGGTTTGCGTTAGGCGGTATCACGAATACATCTACTCACGGATAATCTGTCACGTCACAACAGTGCGGCTTGTGGGAAAGAGAATATAAACAGAGTACCGTGCTTGATACGATACTGGTGCCTACTTCGATTTGAGATAAAATTGTATTTTGTTTGTAAACCTAATTTTATATTAGATAACAATTAATTCGACAGTGAGCATGCATAAGGGCGAATACGCGATGATCGATTCTCTTCATCGATTTTCTATTTGCATTGCTACAGCTAAGCGAAACAATTTTCTAGAATTTGTTCAATGCAGAGTAGTAACAGGTTGTATTGGCTAACAAAAGCAACAGCAAACGCACCGATAAACCACAGACAAATAGACGTAACTCTTTGAAAAACTTGTTCTTGAAAACATAATATCTCAAAACATATAACCTCAGTAACGACATCTATCTGGCTTCTCGCGGAAAACAAGCTTGCTCGCTAACTCGTAAACAATATTGCATAAAATTTCTATAGAATATATAGAAACGTCAAAGTGATCCGATGCCAGCGCTGCGGCGAGTAGTTCGCGGAACTGATAATATTCAAATCAACCGTTAAATGCATGAACGAAGATACACAATGAAGAGTTACGTCTGTTTGTCTGTGGATAAACGTTAAATCTAGCGAGTTATTAACGAAAGAGAAAATCGACGAAGAGAATCGATCATCGCGTATAGGCCCTTATGCATGCTCACTGTCGAATTTAGTGCCACATGGTGCAACAGTATATCTAACATAACTGCTATGTGATCACATAACATCAAATTTCACCTCAAAATCACAAGAAAATTATGTGTCCGATGAAATCCATATAACAAATGGATTCTATCATGAAATTAACAATTCAGTGCCAACTTTTCACAAGGGCGTAATTTCGTTTGTAAATAATGGCTTTAGCCATCGATTTCTCTCGAATAAAAGCTCATTCGTGCATATTAACAACACCGCCAGATAGAGCGTTAATTAGGAGGAGTGTGCTTTTATTTGCGATTAATTCGCGATTGAAGCCATTATTTACAAAAGCAGTTTCGCCCTAATGAAATGTTAGTACTGAATTAGTGACTGATTTTCAAATCCAACGATGGTCTCACATTTCTCAGAATTTGATTTTCAGGTACGAACCATTTTCTGGAATGTATCTGAATGGTTTTCTTCGAATGCAACAAGATCTCCATTTAATCATCAATCTAAAAATACACAAGCTTTGAATTCTTTGCTATTGCAAAATATCGGTTTTTATACATAATTTGAAAATGTCAAACAGAGAATAAACTCTTAATTTTCTAAATTAAATAACCCCATTGGAGAATTGGGTTCTTGAAACTCGTCTTGAAGGGTAAAATATTCGTAATCTGCATTAAAAATGGAATCGAAATCCAAAATTTCATCAATTTTGGTTCACTGAAAGTATTTTAAATAAGCGACCTGTCAATTGGTTAGTTTAGTGTCAATCAGTGAAGTTATTATTAAACTTTAAATCATGGTTTAATATTCGAAATGAAAGTCTATGGGTTAGAAAAAAATATCGCTGTGCTCAGAAAACGAAGTTCTTTCAGATGATGTATAAAACCCGATTTTTTGCAATATATTTTGTCAATATCACCGTGTAATGCATAAAAACTACAAGGGACAGCGGACGTGGACGTATATAATAAATCTTATTTGTTAATTGCAGCAGGAGCTTGTATTTTGTGTAGGAATTGGAATTTGAGCCGGGTTTTCTCTGTTTATACTTTTTAGTATGACGCGCTTGACATAGATGGCCCACAATGACTCACGAAGAGCTACTGATTCCGATCAATAGCGGTGCGGCTTCTTCCTCCTTCTATGGATGCTCATGTCGGTTGCAGCTCGCTGCTTGCAGGCAGCCTTTCGTTGTGTACTGGAGAGCACCACCACTCACCACGCGGTGAATGAATAAACACCGTTTGGTGAGACCAGATCGAATTCAACTTTGAAATCTGTATTAGGGAAATCACTTTTCGTAGGCAATCGGTGATAATTTTCATTCGTGCAATTTTCAATAGTGACATTTTGAAAAATGATATAGTCTTAAATTTAACAGATGCGTCGAAATGTTTCTGATCGATTGGTGATAAAATTATTGAAATTGGTCCAGGGGCAGCTGAGTTATTAACGTACAAAATCTTTCATAATTTTGTTACATGTTCCATTTTTGGTTTTCACAAAGTGTACCCCCATATAGGAATCACAGACGTAGTCCTACGTCAAAAGATTACTTATAAAATCTGATTTTTAAGGTGTCCCCGAAGCTACCTATTAATTCTAGTAAGAAACGTGCCCCGTTAGAGATAGAAAATTTCGCTTTCCAGCAAAGGTAATTTGTTCTACAACTTTGTCAAACATTATGCTAGTCTATCTCAAATTGAAAATTGGGTTTTCCCTATGGTTATCAATTTTCAGAACATTGCTTTATAGACTTCTCTGACGTTTGTGAAATGCACAATTATTAGTGCGGAACTCGGGGTAAATTATAAGTATTAGTGCAAGAATACCTTTGAATTTACCCAAAGTTCTGCACTAATACTTATGCAATTCACAAACGTCAGAGAAGTCTATAGAGATTTCTGAAGTTTATCGCACGCACACTACGTTATCTGCGTTATCAGAAAAAGTATTCATTGCGAAAAAACAAATCACTGACACAATCACGCTTTAGCTATCTCTATAGTGTCTGCGGGAAAGTTTTTTCGTTTATTTTGGTCAATCTTTTTATGTGCCTATTTGTGAACTCGTTGTCCTTCTCTATATCACTGCACCACTGACACCGAGCAGCTCGGCATTTTATTTTTCTGGATCTCAGTGAAAAACTTGCCGAGATTCAACTATATTTATGTTTGATAGCTGAGATCTCGGCAAAATTCCCGTTTGTTAGCTGAATCTCGGCAAGTTTTTCACTGAGGTTCAGCAAAATAGAATGCCGAGCTACTCGGTGGTGCCCATCTTAGTGTGTAGGAACTCAATATCATTATACAAAGATAATGGAGGGTCTAGAAAAAGGTCTCAGTGGAATTTGAGATTGTGCATTATGGGCAATTTCATTTGAAGTCCTCTAAATGTCTGAGATGAATTATGTTACATATTATGTTACAATAACAATGTCCAGTACCATCACTTACTCACACATAAAATCTGCCTCGACCAACCTGGTAGAACGCGCCTTCACCCTCACTGAACCAAAGGGCAGGGACTTCGCTTCGAAATCTATACAGGCCATAACCTTAGATAATTAAAACATAGAGATTTTCACGTCTGGTTGTATTGGTGCGATATGTGAGAGCGTGTTAGTGAATATCCGAGGAAAATACATAATAAATCGATGTCAAACTCATTTTGACAGATCTACTTTCAGCCAGAGGAAAATAATAAACAACTTTACACGGCGTTGCTCCCGCTAGTGTGCGTGCGTTAAACGTCACTAATCTCTATAGATTGCTCAATCGGGCATCCCTGCTTTTACTCGAAAAGTAACATTGATAGCGCGCTATTTGTCGGCCAACGGGTGAACTAAAAGCTTAGCAGCCGAAATGGATGCGCATTTTGAATCAAAATTGCCCTTCGTACACAGAAAAAAATACTACCCAAAATTTTGGTTCAGTGTTCACTCGGCTGAAGCAGACCACTCTCAATGTGTGTCACGTGATCGTCTGTTTACTCGGCAGCAACCATTGTGTGGTACTCCTCATTGTTCTTCATCAGCAGTTCTTTCAGTTGATGCGTCGTCGACTTTGGAAAGCAACCGTTTCGTGATGAATGTGTGAGTGCTGACCACGTTTTGCGTCCATTGATGCAATGGAAGCGCTCGGTCCCCCGTTGGCGATACTGCCATACAATCACACCACTGGAAGCGGCTCCCGTTCTGGTGGAGGAGTCTTATTGGATAGCGGAAGATAAAGTGATTATTGTGTTGTACCTTTTGACTATAGTTTTAAGATGTATTTTATAGTGAACAAGAATCCTCGGCTCTGTAAAGTTAATTCGGTTTAAAAAAAAATTAGTTCTTTTTATTTAATATTGAGTTCAGCCTCTCACTTGCACCCTTTATTGTTGTCAGAAAAGGAACGAGAGATTCGACCCAACGATATTGTCCAGCCCAATAAGTTACTTTTGAGTAAATTGTATATTTTCAAATTTAGAAACTGGCACCGTCGAAACCCCATTTTGGTTTCTATTATGAATCACTGCTGTTTCAAACAGAATTCGGTACTCAAAGCGTTTGTTCACGCAAATACAGATATACACGTTAATCACAAATTACGCTGCACTATATGATTAAGGGGGTAGTCCACTCTGGAGGCATGAAAAATAGGTAATTTTTACGAATTTTTTTTGAGGGTAAATAACGATCAATTCAAAAAAAGGAATGCATGGTTTTGTCAATTGAAATGTCCTCTTTAATTGAGATTTTTTTTGGCACGATTGGATGTCTCCTGTAGCCGCTGCACCAGGTTCCCCAGGAGACCTCCCGTCTGAGTCGTCACGGGGCGGGACGTCTGGCGGTCACACCACTGGGACTGGAACAACGATTTTTTTTGTGGTTATTCTCTGATAGATGACCCAGTCTTGTACGTAGCCGTTTTTTAATTTGGTTGAAAAATAAAAATTTGGCGACGTTTTGAAAAAAAAAAACAGTCCGTTTTTGTACCCTAAAATTGAAGATAAAAGCTTGCATCAAAAATCCATTTTTGATTCTTTTGAAAATCGGTTACGTACAAGACTAGAAAAAAGGTACTGAACTCGAAAATTCAATCGCCGTTTAAAGCGAATGAGCCGTTTCTAAAATACAGCGCCCGCCAATTTTGAAAACATCGTTTAGAGATAATCGTGGCAGCAGTTGGAACTACTAAGACACGCCGTTTCGCCGGTAACGGGTGGGTACTCCGAGCGCTCACCTGAGCGCGCTT